GGTTAAATACTAAGGAATAAGATTTTGTCAGATAAGATTGATTTGTATAGGGCCACAAACAATTGTAATAGCTATAATTTTTTTTTTCCTTCTAAGAATCAATTTTCTCCCTCAGGGGCAAAACTGGCCCTGTTGAGAATGTATGCAGTAGAACAGACCCTCCTACCTTGTTCTTTTCATATAAGAGTGTTATGCTATTTTTTTGTTTTTTCCTATGACATATGGAAACAGCTTATCACTTTCTACAAAACAAAACAAAATAAAAAACTCCCACCAGTAGAGTATGTACTCTATTGGTAGAAGGTCTTTTATTAGGATTGTATCAATTCCATAGGTCAGTTTGGATAGTTGGCATCTTTGTTTTATTGAGTTTCCTGATCTTCAAACATAGTATAGCTTCAAGAGGAAAATTGCTTTAAGAAGAAATTAGTAACATGAGTAGTCCTATAATCATTAGTGAGTAGTTACAACTTTCCTGCAAAGAATATTCACAGATTTATTAGTGTGTTCTAGCTCTGTCAGACACAAAATGAAACAATAATTTCAGCTTTACACAAAACCTTTCAAAGAATAGAAAAAAGAGGGAACTCTCCTATATACATTTTATGTGTATAGCATATCTTAGATACATAAACTATCAAGGATAATGAAAAAAGAAATTATGGACTAGTTTGATCATGAACATAGATGAAATACTCCTCAACAAAATATCAGCAAACTGAATCTGGTTAAATATAACCAGCCTGACCAAGTTGAGTTTATTCTAGGAATGAAGATTGTTTTTGCATTAAAAAATTAGTCAATATGTTTGATCACATTAACAGATTAGAAAAAAAAATCAAATGAGCATCTCAATTTATGAAGACAAAGATAAAATTCAGCATTCATTCATGTTATAAACTCTTAACAAACTAGAACTAGAGGAGAACTTTCTTAATCAGACAAACGTGCCTCCCCAAATAAAAAAAAACAGAAAACCAACTAGCTATATAGCATGCTAAGATGAAATGTTGACTTCTTTCTCTCTAAGTTGGGGGACAGTGCACACATCAATGCCCATTGTCACCATTGTTATTAAACATAGTGCTAGAAGTTTTAGCCAATGCAGTAAGCTAAGAGAAAGAAAAGGTACAACTGCTGAAAGAAAGAAAACTATCATTACTCATAGGTGATATAATTGTGTAAATAATTTATTCATAGATGCTTTTGGATTTTTAAGAAAGTTTAAAAGCATGACTATAAAACAATATTTTAAAATCAATTCTATTTTTATATAATAAACCTTTAGACAATGAAATTAATAGCACATGCCATTTATAATAGAATCAAAACCCAATAAATGTCTGAATGAAATCTGACCAAAAAAAGTATGATTTCTATGGGAAAACTTACAAAACTTAATGAAGAGAATATGTTACGTGGAAATGTATACCTCAGTGTGTGTTGTAACTTGAAAATATAACTTTAAAATTTTTATGGAAATACAAATTATCTAGAATAAAAAAGACATTCTTGCAAAAGAACAAGATGGGATAACTTAGCCTACCAGGTATTGATACTTATTACAAAACCACAGTAACTAAGATGTGTGTCGCTGGTGCAGAGATAAACAGATATCCCAAGGGAACAGAATAGAGAGCCAAATCTGATTCATGCCTGTATGGATACTTGAGCTCTACCCACTGAGGAAAGGACAGCTTTTCAAATAAATCATTCTGGGATGGTTGAATATCCATATTGTAAAAATAAATTCTGATCCCTGTCTTTCACTGTGTACAAAAAAATAAACATCAAATCTAGGTGGATTAGTGACCTAAATGTGAAAGGCAAAACATATAAAACTTTTAGAGGCTTTAGAAGATAATACAGGAGAATGTCATTATTACTTTAGGGTTAGGAAAGATTTCCCAAACAGGATATGAAAAGCACTAAAGGAAATGATTGATAAACTGGGCTACATTAAAATTAAGAACTTAAGTTTATCAAAAGATGGCATAAGTAGAGTGAACAGGTAGTCTCAGAGGGGGAGAATATATTTGCAGTATGCAGCCAAAACATAGTAGTATCCAAAATGTATGAAGAATGAATTAATAACTTTTACCTTAAGGATAGAAGCGAGGGAGAGATTGTGATGGTGAAGGAATACACAGGAGGCTGTGCTTGGTTTCAAATGTTCTAATTCTTGAGAAGGTAGTGTTACTTTTCTTTAAACTGAACATTTGTTATGCACTTATCTGAATATAAGTATATTTCTTAACAAAAAGTGGGAAGAAATGAAAACAATAAAGAAATATGGTTGTTGATTATATTAGTTTGCTAGGGCTGCCATAACAAAATACTGGTGGCTTAAACAACAGAAATTCATTTTCTTATAGTTCTAAGGCTAGAAGTCCAAGAGCAGGATGTCAACAGTCTTGGTTTCTCCTGAGGCCTCTCTCTTTGGCTTGCAGACAGCCACCTTCTCACTGTCTGCTCATGGTCTTTCCTCTGTGGGAGCATCCCTGGTGTCTCTTTGTGTGTCTGAATTTCCTCCCTTTATAAGGACACCAAACAGATCAGATTATTGCCCACTTTAAGACCCTCATTTAAACTTAATCACTACTTTAAAGGTCCTCTGTCCAAATACAATCACATTCCGAGGTATGGGAGTTAGGACTTCAATATGTGAACTTTGGCAGGATGGGGGGACACAATTCAGCCCATATACTGATTATGTAGTAAAGATCTGGAATAGCAAATGGGTTCTTGTGATTTGGATAAAATTTCCTAAGCCAATTTTTGGATTCAAAAAGTGCTAAATCTAAAAAAAAAATCTAAGACAGAAGTAAAGATGTACTCTAGAGAACAGTGTTAAGTGACTCAAAATATGGATTTAGTGCTGATGATGTTAATTATGCATGTGTGAACTTGGAATACAGTTGTTTTTTGAAAATGTAAAAGTGATAAAAAGCAATTTCTAGATTAAAGTTTTTTACTACTGTATTTTACATAAATACTTTAACTATAAATGTATAACCCAATGAATAAATGTAATATTATAAGTAGATCTTTTAGTCTCATTTCCATCCCTGACATTTATAAATTGTAGTTGGCCAAAAAGTTTTAACAAATCATTTCACTGGGAGAAGAGAGGATGGATTTTAGTTGGTCATAGATGGTAATTTTAGTACAGTAAGCTCTGCTATAATGCAATATGTGCATTCCTAAAAATCACTTCATGGTGTAAAACCATGGAATAAAAGTACAGAGCTTATGGGCAAATGGGGGCACAGCATTCAAAAACTTTATTAGTGACACTTAAAAGGGTAGGAACCTATTAAAAACAGTAGCACATTTTTATACACGTTAAATGGTTAAGAAACACATAAACACTACAATAGACATGGCACGTCACCTTGAAAGAGACCTGAAAGTTTTCTTGTGGAAGAGAGTATCAGAAGAGTTGCAGAATGTGAGTTACTTTGAAGTGATGGAAGGAGGGTCTCTGAAATTGGAGGGAACATTGTAATACCAGATGTAGATGGGTGTGGCTCATAACACATATTATAAACTGAGGTGACTAGTAGATGTTTGAGGGGTGTGTGTTTTGTGTATTCCTACATGTCTTAGTTCAGCTGGGTGCAATTTTCTGTGTTCATCAAGGATTTTTCACAGACAGAATCATGCATAAGAAACACAAAAGTAGTGCTATGCTGAAATTGTTGCTTAATAATATATCAATTATGTTGGAACAAATTTGTGTTTTCAAACAGCATTATAGCAGAACTTAATTTTTTATATCATTCACAGACCTACTTTTTGATTTTTATATGTTTTGTAAGGATGCTGAATTAATTATCATAGGGCCTCCCTGTTTTTGGTATTCCTATCAGGATACTTTTAATCCTTAATGTGAATCAGCATAAAAGAAAGCATGTGGGTGGTTGTGTTTTGGAGGTCCTTTCCATTTGCTTGTTGCTTTTATCCACTGTGGCTGGTTTATTCCAAAGCTTAGCAACAATAGATTTCCAGTAGAAGTCATAGTTCTTTGACTCTCTCCCTCCTCTGATCTATTTGGTAACAGTATGGGTGAATGAAATGCTTCTTGTCTTCTTGTCCTTCTACCGCGGTATCTTAGTTCACTTTCAGGACCCTCATTTTCAATCTCTGAGCCAGAAAGTCAGTTTTCACTCATAGCATTTCTATTTCTTCCTCCTGTCTCTGTGTTTCTTTATGCTTATTATAGTACTCTGTGCATACCTCCCTGTTATAGCATATTAGCACATTGTTTTGGAGTTTTGCAAAGTTGGGCTCTCTCTATAATTTGCACACTTCTTGGGGGCATGGACCATATCTTTATCATTTTTACCTTTCTATTATGTAGTACAGTGCTTGGCAGTGGTGGTTGGGTGATTGGATGGATGAATGAATGAAAAGAGCTGTCCTTAGGATCCTATTATATATGTTTTCACCTCATTTTGACTAAGTTACATGATTTCTAGGTATTTTGATCTCTTGAACTTTAATAATATAAGTCATGCTTGTGCATTCAAACATTTTAGTAGTACAATAATAAAATTTCTTTGATAGATCAAAGATTGTACACTGTAAGTGTTTTGTTTTGTCTTGGGTTTTTTGTTTAGTTTTCTTATTTTGTTTTATTTTGTTTTGCCCAACAAAGGTTCAAAAACAAACAAGGTTAACTTGCAACCTTGGCATTGAGATTTTTTTGATACAGAGAGTAGTAAAATCATATATTTTAGCTTGCTATTATAAATTAAAAACAGTAATTTTTAAAATTTTCAAATATTTATATATTGATTAAATAAAAATAAGCTTAAAACAGGGGAGAGTAATTCTTTTAAGATAATGAGGAAGATGTGTGATAGCTCAATTCTTTATTATTTTTTTCTGTCTTCTTTTACCTTGAGCCAGAAGTAACATCAATTCTTGATTATTATTGCAACTATAAGCAACTCTTGAAATAGTTTCTAAGACTTTCTTTTTCTTTTTCTTTATAGGACCTCTTTCTTGTTAGACATGAATTGGCCATAATGAGACTAGCTGCCTTTATGGGCATTACTATGTTAGTTGGAATAACTGGACTCTTTTATACTCAACTGATTGGCATCATCACAGTAAGTATATTTTTAATGTAAAGTAACATTTATGAATATATTACCTAATTATGAACTTCATTCTAAAAAGTTACAGAAAGCTTAGAACTTGAAGGAGAAAATTACTCATTTTTAATATTTTTTTTACTTTCATGTGCCTTTGAAATTTTAAAGTAGTTATAATCAGGTACAGAGTATTCATATAATCTTGTGTCCTGCTTTTAAACGTTAACAGTATTTTTTTAGTGCTAAAGACATGTTGATAGCTTTTAATACTTGCATGTTCTCTATTTAGTGAGTATACCATACTTTAATTAATCATTTTCTAATTGATTGACATCTAATGTATTATTGTTTCTTTTTATATTACAAACAACATAACTGTAAACATCTCCTTTTCCTCTTTAAATTATTAATTTAGGGGAAATTCCCAGAAATAGAGTTGCTGGTAGAGCATTTTATTAGTAATTAAATCTTACTTTTGTTTGAATGTATTTATTGATGTGTAAACTAACTTAACAAGTGATTGCCATTGTTTATCTAGGATGCCTGAAAGTCTGATGACAGCTTCTCATTTTATAGTATTGGATATGTAAAAATCTTGAAATAATGTCAAATCTATTTTTTACATTTTTACATAAGAATATATTTATAGTATTTACCTATTTATTTCCCTTTTTTATCATTACCTACATAGGAATAAGTAGTTTTTTCAGACCATCTAATTGAAACAATTGCATTAAACACATAAAAGTATCATATTAAGTAATAGTACCCTCATAGGTGCCTCTATTTCATGAGTTTCTCATAGGTTAGTTGGAGGCTAGAGAAGTAATTAGATATAAGATTGAAATATACATTACAGTACCAGTCTTTCTTCATAATTAGCCAAATTGAGTCCTTTTGTTATAACAGAAAAGATTTTAAAAATGAGAAAAATTATATTAAGTAAGGGTTAAAAATATAATACACTGCAAAAGATGTAGAGCAAATAGACTTTAGAGCAAATAGACTTCTCTTACATAAATTGGTATAACATTTTCAGGGAATAAATTGTCAATGTCTGTAAAAATTTAAAATGAAGAGCCCTTTTGACCAACCTCTACAAATTTATTTTGTAAGGCTATATATTTGCATGTGTGTAAACATGTATGTTAAAAAGTCTCCAGTATTTTATTATAAACAGACATTTCTCCGATATATTGCAGATTCTGTTCCAGACCACTACAATAAAGCAGCTATCACAACAAAGCAAGTCATGTGAATTTTTTGGTTTCCTAGTGCATATAAAAGTTATGGTTATACAAAAATTTAAAAAATATGCAGAAATATACTTAACTGAGAAAGTGAAACATCTCTACAAGGAGAACTACAAAATACTGATTAAATAAATTGTAGATGACACAAACAAATGGAAAACATCCCATGTTCATGAATTGGAAGAATCAATATTATTAAAATGACCATACTGTCCAAAGCAATATAGAGATTCAGTACAATTACTATCAATATACCAACATCACTTTTCAAAGAATAATCCTAAAATTCATATGGAACCAAAAAAGAGCCCAGATAGCCAAAGCAATCCTAAGCAAAACGAACAAATCTGGAGACTGCCTTTACATTACCTCTCTTCAAATTATACTACAAACCTATAGTAACAAAACAGCATAGTACTGGTATAAAAGTAGACATATAGATCAATGGAACAGAATAGAGAACCCAAAAATAAAGCCATATACCTACAACGAACCGATCTTCAACATAACAGACAAAAATGTACTCTAGGGAAAGGATATCCTATTAAATGGAGCTAGGAAAATTGGATAGCTGTATATAGAATAATGAAGCTGGATCCCTATCTCTCACCATATACAAATATTAACTCAGGATGGATTAAAAACTTACATGTAAGACCTGAAACCATAAAAATTCTAGAATAAAACCTAGGAAAAACTTTTCTGAACTTTGGCCTAGGCAAAGAATTTATGACTAAGACCCCAAAGCAAATACATCAAAAACAAACATAAATATATGGGACTTAATTAAAGTAAAAAATTTCTACACAGCAAAATAAATAATCAATAGAGTAAATAGACAACCTACAGAATGGGAGAAAATATTCACAAAGTATGCATCTGACAAAGGACTGATATCCAGAATCTACAAGGAACTCAAACAAATCAATGAGAAGAAAACAACCCCATTAAAAAGTGGACAAAGACATGAAGATTTTTCAAAAGAAGATATACAAATGCCCCAAAAACATATGAAAAATGTTCAACATCACTAATCGTGAGGTAAAAATGCAAATTAAAACCATGTAAGATATCACCTTACCCCTGTCAGAATGGCTGTTATTAAAAAGTCAAAAAACAATAGATGTTGGCACAGATGTGGTGAAAAGAGAACACTTGAACAATGTTGGTAGAAATGTAAAATAATACAACCTCTATGGAAAACAGCATGGGGATCCTCAAAGAACTAAAAGTAGACCTACCATTTAATCCATCCTTCCCACCACTGGTTATCTGCCCAAAGGAAAAGAAGTTGTTATGTTAGGAAAACACCTGCACTCACTTGTATGTTTATTCGCAGTACAATTCACAATTGCAAAGGTATGGAATCAATGTAAGTGCCCATCAACCGATGAGTAGATAAAGAAAATGTGGTGTACGTATACCATAGAATACTACTCAGCTACAAAATAAGAATGAAATATTGTCTTTTGCAGCTACTTGGATGGAACTTGGATGGAAGTCATTATCCTAAGTGAAGTAACCCAGGAATGGAAAACCATTAAGTGAGAAAATAGCACATGTTCTTATTTAAAAGAAGGATCTAAGCTATGGCTACTTATGGTTATAAGAGAGGGGTATAAATGACATTGGAAACTCAGAACAGAGAAGGAGAAAGGGAGGAGAGTGAGGGATGAAAAAATTATATGTAGACTACAATGTATACTTTTCAGGTGGTGGGTATACTAAAAGGCCATTCACCACTATATAATACACATATATAACATAAACCACTTGTACCCTCTAAATCTATTGAAATTTTAAAAAAGGAAAAAAAGTTATGTTTATACTATACTGTAGTCCATTAAGTATTAAATAGCATTATGTCTAAAAAACATGTACATACTTTAACAGTATTTTATTGCTAAAAAATGCTAACCATCAACAGCATGTGCTCACTTCATGTTTTTGTGCCATGTTTTCCTAATTCTCATAATATTTCAAACTTTTAAAATTATTATTACATCTGTGATGGTGATCTAGGATCCGTGATCTTTGATGTTCCCATTGTAATCATTTTGGGGTACCCTGAGCCATGTCTATTTAAAATGGTGGACTTACTCAGTAAATGGTGTGTGTTTTCTGACTGCTACTCCCCCATCTCTCTTCCTTTCCTCAGGCCTCTCTATTCTATGAAACACAACAATATTGAAATTAAGCCAATTATTATAATAACCCTACAGTGGCCTCTAAGTGTTCAAGTGAAATGAAAAGTCACACACCTCTCACTTTTAAATCAAAAGCCAGAAATGATCAAGCTAGTGAGAAAGGCTGTCAAAAGCTGAGATAAGCCAAAATCTAGGTCTCTTGCACCAAACATTTAGCCAAGTTGTATATACAAAGGGAAAGTTCTTGAAGGAAATTAAAAATGCTACTCTGTTGAACACATGAATGGTAAGACACTGAAGCAGTCTTAAGTGCTGATACGGAGAAAGTTACAGTGGTCTGGATAGAAGATCCTACCAGCCACAACATTGCCTTAAGCCAAAGCCTGATTCAGAGCAAGGCCCTAACTCTCAATTCTCTGAAGGCTAAGAGAGGTAAGGAAGCTGCAGAAGAAGAGTTTGAAACTAGCAGAGGTTGGTTCATGATGTTTAAGGTTAAAAGACATCTCCATAACCTGAAAGTGCAAAGTGAAGCTGCAAGCACTTCTGTAGAAGCTGCAAGTTATTCAGAAGATCTGGCTAAGATAACTGATGAAGCTGACTACACTAAACAACATGTAGACGAAATAGCTTTTTAGTGGAAGAAGATGCTATCTAAGATTTTCATGGCTATAGAGGAAAAGTCAATGCTTGGCTTCAGATCTTCAAAGGACAAACTGACTTTCTTGTTAGGGTCTAATGCAGCTGGTGAATAAGTTGAAGCTGTGCTTATTTGCCATTCTGAAAATCCCAGGCCCATTAAGAATTATGCTAAGTCTACTCTGACTGTAGCCTATAAATGGAACAGCAAAGCCTAGATGACAGCACATTGGTTTACAGAATTGTTTGCTGAATATTTTAAGCCCACTGTTGAGACCTACTGCTTAGAAAAAAAGATTCCTTTCAAAATATTATTGCTTTTAACAATGCACCTAGTTACTCAAGAGCTCTAATGGTGATCTACAAGGAGATTAATCTTGTTTTCAAGCCTGCTAACACAACATCCATTCTGCAGCCCATGGATAAAGGAGTCATTTTGATTTTCAAGTCTTATTATTTAAAAAATGCATTTTATAAGACTATAGCTGTCATAGTGATTCCTCTCACGGATTCTTTTTCTGTGTCTGTGGTTTGTTTATAGATCTTTGGAACACTGAGGTTGCCTAAGAATAAACTCAGACAATAGTCCACATAGGTTTTCACAAATATCTGTGTGTCACACAGAGCCTTCAGGAAATTCCCAGTAGAGGCCCTTGGCAAAAAAGCGTTTAGTGAAGTAATTCTAAAAGAAGTACTCTCTTAAAATATATTTATCATCCTATATTTGGCTAACATTTCAAATGCGTCAAAATCTAGGAACGACACCCAAGCCAGTTAATTGGCTAAGTAACTTGAAAACTGGAAAAAATCCACCATTCTAGATGCCATTAAGATTATTCGTGATTCATAGGAGGGGGTCAAAATAGCAACATTGACAGGAGTTTGGAAGAAGTTGAGACCAGTTCTCCTGATTGACTTTGAGGGCCTCAGGCTTCAGTGGAGGAAGTCACTGCAGATGTGGTGGAAATAGCAAGAGAAC